CTGAAGTTACACTCTTAAATCAGGCATCGGCTCTGCTGCTCTGGGCCCTTATTAATAGACAGTGGTTTGCTTTTTTACTTTCATACAATGTTTTATAAATATATTACTTATTTGTGTGTACATGCATGTGTGCGCACACAGAGGTCAGAAAAGAGCATCAGATCCTTTGGAGCAGGCATTTACAGGATGCCCAGTTTGTTATGTGGGTGCTGGGATCCAAACTCTGATACTCCTGATCTCTCCAGCCACCAACAGTGTTTGTTTTTGTGTTTTGAATTTTTTCCTTTTAATAGCTTTTTTTAAAAAAAAATAAAATAATATGTCAGTGTGTGGGTTTATGCACTTGAGGGCAGGTGCCCACAGAAGCCAGAGGCATCAGATCTCCCTGCAGCAGCAGTTGTAGGCATTTGTGAGCTGCCTGATATGGGTAGTGGGAATTGAGCTCAGGTCCTCTGCAAGAGCAGCACAAACTCTTAACTGCTGAGCCATCTCCCCAGCCCTCAGTGTTTTAATAAATATGCTGTTTGTGTGTATTTTTGCTTGTTTGATGTTTCTATGGGACACACTACTAAAAGCAAGACTACTCTCCAAAAGGGAGAACTCACATTTTTGATAATGAAATGGCCTTCCGATTTCCATTCCTATCAAAAGTGTATGAAGTGTTCATTGTCTTTTACCCACTAGCAGTAAGCATGTGCAGGGGTTTTATTTTTGCATCCATAATTACATAAGATGTATTGTTACTTTTTTAATCGTGTGTGTGTGTGTATGTGTGTACATGTGCTGAATACACATGTATGTGAATGCAGGCACCTTGGAAACTAGAGTATCGGATTTCCCTGGAGCTGGAGCTTGTGAGAACTGAATTCGGGTCCTCTCCAAGAGCAGCAAATGCTTTTAACCACTGAGCCATTTCTCCAGCACCATTTGTGGCCTTTCTTAAGCTAGGTCTCATATGCACTTTGGCGCTTTGTATTTGTATGTGAATTACTCCCATGTCCACCCCAAGTTCTCTCCTGTCTGTCTCTCTTCGTCTCTGCACTTTTGAGATCAAACACTCCCTTCCAACCCCCTTCAATGGAAGACATACAGAGAGCAAGGGGAAGGTGAGCTGCTGAAAGAAAGCCAGCGCTTAGGCATGAGAGACGAAGTGTCCCCATTGGGACATGTCTGCCTTAAAAGGAGGCTGCCCAAGGGGGCAATGCTTACCTCCAAAGGCTTCAACAGGAAAAACTTTCCAGTGGGAAGATCTTCCTGGACTCTCATTATCAGAGTCAGCGCTTGTTTTGCTATCATGATGGAGCAATCTCCTGTCTGCTTGGGACTTGCAAGGTCTTTGACTAAGTGTTCACACCTCTGCACCTTTATCTAAGGGGTTAATCAGAAATGCAGATAAAAATAATGCTTGTCATAGAATTGGTTATTAGACCAGAAAAAACTTTAAATGTCTGAGAACAGAAAACAAGTTAATGATAACTCAGCAATATATCTTAATGAAATACAGTTCAGCCTTTGAGCACTTTATCTAGATTTTACATTTGCGTGTGTGTGTGTGTGTGTGTGTGTGCACGTGCGCATGTGTACATGCTCTTTTGGGTGCCACAGTGCACATGTGGAAGCCAGAAGACAGTTTGCAAGATGGCTCTCCATCCATCATGTGGGCCCCAGGGATGGAACTCAGGTTTCAGGCTTGGCAGCAAGTGCCCTTAATCACTAAGCCATCTCACAAGTCCAATTCAACATTCTAAGCGATGCTGTAAGAAGTACACTCAGCGTCATTGGAAAGTATTTTATATTAGGTATATTTGCAAAGGGTTAAAAAAAAACAGTGAAGTAAATGTAGCAAAATCCTAATAGGGAATTCTATTTGGGTAAAGGAAACATCCCTTTTCAACTTTTGGGCATATTTTGTTTGGAGGAAACTCCCCTCATACTGCTGTTAGCAGAAAAAGTATCTTTACGTGCAGGTAAGTAGAATTTCAACAGCTTTTAAAACTAACCTGGAGACGTCTGAGAACTAAACCTGCCTATCAAAGTTTGGTTGTAGTGACTCAGACTTAAGAAATCCACCACACCTGTGCTGTGGTTGGCACCCAGCAGGCACCTTGTCCCGCCCACTTTCTCAGCCAACTCTGATGGGAAGGGAACAGGGAAAGGAAGAACCCAGAAAGAAGCCCCAAGAACTAGGACAAATGAATTTTCTAGCAATCATCAGCGGCTCCTCTGCCTCAAAGCAGATTTTAATTGCTCAACAGGGGGATCCGCTTTGTCCTGAAAGCTTCCTAGAGGGAGATTTAAGTGAGATGGGTCTTGGCCAAGAAAATGCATCCTACTAGGGCCCCCTGGTAAGCCAACTGCATGCTGAAATACAGTGCCCCAGAGAACACTCTCCCCTACTGCCAGTCTTCGGACATGGGCAGTGTTGTTCAGAAGCCCAGAAGCGATAAAGATAACTTACATGGCGCCTGGTGATAGGGCCCTCCGGGACAATGATACTGATAGTTCCATGGAGCTTGTGGGGACGGATTGAGAGGAGGCCTCTTTGCACATGCTGGATACCTCTGAAGTTCACACTGAGGGAACTCCTGGGACCTCAGAGGCCCAGGGAGGTCTTGCAGGTAACATGTGGAGGTGAGGGGCAGTGGCCTTTCCAGCTGCCTGATGCCCAGGACGTCTTGGGGCTGGGAATCATACCCGGTGTCTATCGTGGGCACATCTGGGGCTGTTCTGTTCCTGTGGGGTCGGGGCCGAGATACCATCTCTTGGCCACCACTGGAGGAGTCAGCCAGAGCATTAGGCAAACTTGGGTCCGACGTGTCTGAGTCATGGCCAGTGTCGGGAGAGGCTGCCGAAAGCTGAGCTCCCAGCCGTCTATTGCGTTTTTCCAGAAGTGAAAACCGGTGCTCAGGAGGGAGGGCGCCAAGCACAGACTCCGACTCACGCTCACTGGCTTCGGATGAGCATGAACAGAATCCCTTGCCAAGATCAGGGTGCCTTCTAAAGAAACTGGCATCACTCTCCTCCAGGACTTTAGTGCGCAGGTCAGTGACCTGTTGTGACACGGGCTGGTGTTGGGCAAGTTTCAGGGGAGGAGGGCGAGCCTGACAACGGTCTCCTGAAGCGTGGCGAGAGGCTTGGCGTGCTGACAAGCTGCTGGGTGCCATGTTCCTTGTATTTGGAGCAGGTGGTTCCAATTCCTCTTCCAGGGAATATTCTGGGATTGGTTTCAGCAATTGACTCGGGAATGGTTCTGATTCGTCAACCTCCACAGGAATGCTTCGGCTCATTCTAGTTTCTGGAACAAGAGAAAGCAAGCCAGTCTCAGAAGATAGAGCATCTTCTGACCTTAAAGGACCTGGTTCAGGATGTGGTTTAAATTAACAGTCGTGTGACACCGCTGTCTGCGGGGCCCCAGTCACAGCGAGTTGTGTACTCAGCCATTCCAGGCAAAGGCACTAATGTGTATTAAGATATTTTATCTGGAAGGCAATTGAAGAAATATGACCAGAAGTCATTGTGTGGTAGGAACTGCTTACCAGCAAGGGGAAACCACGGCTGAAAAGCAACTGCCGCTTACTGAGAAGAGAGAGATTATCAGAAAGTGGGCTGCCTTGTGTGTTTGGAATGCATAATGCAAATAATCCCAGGAACTGATGGGGAACAATCTCCAGGACGTACTGTTGTTTTTTTTTTTTTTTAAAGTGAGAAGCAGGACACTGTGTCTGAAAAGAGGAGTAGCTGTGTGTGGCGGTGTGTGCATACCCTTCTTTATGGGTTTAACTGCGTGATGTACACAGACCCGCACTGAGGGCGGTCAGAAGTGCAATGAGAGTTTTACCTTTTGAACTTACATTTTATTTATTTTTTACTCCAGTTGGCTATTGCTTAATAACACTAAGTAAACCTAATAACACTAAATACGTTTCTTAGAAAACGAAAGCACAAACTTAAAAACAGGTCATGGTGACATTTTCCACTTAACAACTTGGGTCGTTTGGAGCATGTATTTACCTCCGGGCCCGGGGCCTGTAATGAAGGACGCCATGACTAAAGGCTTGTTCAACTATCCTTGGCCCCCCAGAGCCCAGGATCCAAGCAATACTGCTTTTATCTCTAAAAATCCACTTAACACAATGGGGAGGGAGGAGGAGCTTCCCTTGTCTGTCTAATCATTAGCCTGTTGCTGGATGCCCAGCTGTAGGGCAAACAGAGGAAAGCCTGGGAGATGGGGTGCTTTTGGGACACTAGGGGGTTCCCAAGAGGCTGCAGAACAAGTGTTGTAAGAGCGAGTAAGTGTCGGAAATCCCGGTGGTTCATACTACAGAGGGCCTCTATACACAGCACACTTCAAATACTAGAGAAAAAGGCTGTGCGCGGAGTTTAAATTCCAACTTTGGATCCATGCAGCCTTTCAGCCACCCCCGTTTATGGAGAGCCTAGTGTGCCTAAAGTCACAGAGTACATAAATTATTGTTCTAAGCTAGCTTTGGAGAATAGGAATTTCTAGTCTTTTACACCGTGTGCCCACTCCAATAAGAGAGGGCAGCCTGCACGGCAATGTTCCCCTTTCACAGAGAGCGGGCCAACAGTTTGCTTCTAGATGGAAGCCAGGGCTTTCCAGAGTAGACAAACATCTACTACTAAGGTAGAGCTTTGGTCCCTGTCCACTGGGCTTAACTGTCTGCAGAAAGCCAGGCATGTTAGCACATGACTATAGTTGCAATTTTTACAGAGGCAGGAGAATCACTTAGGCTGAGGAACGAAGCATTGCTCTTGCTCCCTTGCTGCTGCAATCCTGTGCTCTTCCTGGCACACGGGAGGCAGCCTCAGCTTCCAGCTGCCCTCAGCCGTCCCTTCCCAGGCTGTCGTATACATCCCTTGGAAGAGATCCCGCCCTCTAACTTGGTTAGACCTTTTGAAAATGACTAAGAACCTACCAAAAGATAAAAAAGTAGCCCGCCATTTTACTATTTTAAAATCATTTCCTCTTATCCTTACAGTTTGTCTGCAGCTACAAAATGGGATACACTGTGCAGCATGCTCTTCAGCTCAGCTGGCTGGGAGGCAGAAGTCGTCTCTCGGGTGGCCGAGGCTGTGTGAGCTCCTGCTCGCCTCCCTGAGCCCGCGGATAAGTGAGAGGGTGAGGAGGGTGGACAGCGAGCCAGCTATCAAAAGGATGACATTCTGCCAGCTCTTGTCATGTGATTCACATCCCTTGCTCAAACTGCAAACACTTCGGGTGCAAACGCTCCTAATCTCCACGGGTTTTCAAATGTGGATTTCTGAGAAGTAACTTCCTACCCGAAGCAAAGTTTCAGATTTGACTTTTCTAGCTCAGAGGTCTGCCAGGGGCTACAGGGAGGCTAATATCACAGGAGACAAGTGTGGCCATCTCACATGCCTTAAAACTGGTCTCTAAAGGGGCACATGGCCCCTCGGGCGTAGGAAACAAACCTGTCATGGGGATGACAACCCTCACAGTAACACTGTAGCATCAGTAATCACTACAAAATGAGAATGGACCTCGAGGTTTGAAGTGAGTCACCACCAAATACACACAGACAGCGAGCCCTTACTCCATGTTAGTGGCCCACCCCCAAGGCAACTGTTTTGCTTTTTAATTGTCTACGGGTGGTGCAGCCTGAAGAAAGAATGAGGAGACAGTGGAAGCTCATCAGAAGTATTCCTAAAGACACGGACAGCCTGTGCCTCCTGTGTCTCTCCATCTGACACAGAGAGAAAACACGCAGGCCGGCAGCAGGACCTACCCCAGGGCCTTTCCCTCGTTCTCTCTCAGAATCCCCGCATGGCTCCCTTCCTTTCTCCTCAGTTGTCGCCTTCTCAGTGAGGTCCCCCTGGACTCGCTTGGTAAAGTGTTTACAGTCTCCTCCCTTCCACCCCTCTCTGTTTTCCCATCCTCTTTAGCCATCATTGCCATCTTACATACTCCACCGAGATAGATAATGTAAACATTTAATCCTGTTTGCTTCCAAAATACAATTCACCACACCGTGGCTTCTCAGTCCACTACCCACAGCCCTGACCAACACCTAGAACCACACCCGGCACTGGTAGACGCTCTGTAAGGGTGTGCTGACTGAATTAATGGTTGCTGTCTACTGTACGGCAGTACTTGCTGCTGGATGGTTCCCTGGCAGGGTTGGCATTTGTAGACCTGGAACCTCCCAGCTTCAGCCCTGGTCAGAACTGGTCAGCCCTCTCCCTGACAGTCACAGGGAGCAGCTGCACATAGGTTAGAGGGGTTAATCAAAGATGCAGTTTTCACTGTAGTAAGACATTGTAAAAATATTATTCCTTAAAAACAGCCCAGTATTTCTCCACTGCTAACCATTCCCACTTTTCTTGTTTTCTTCTAGGCTCGCTCTGTGTTCTGTTCATGTGACTCTCACCCTGTTGTGGCCTGTCCTCCAGTCCCTGACACAAGGCAAGTCCAGGCTGATGTAGAAAGTCCCTACTCAGCTAGCCATGACTTTGGAAAAAGCCCCTGACCTCTGAGTGGACAGAAGACCTGGATGTCAGCGCGTGGGAGCCCTGGAGCCTGCATTGCTGGGACAGCTCCAAAAGACTATGAAGCACAGGCTTGTCATACCTGGAGAATAAGAGCATGCCTGCCACACTGTGGCCCTCTCTGCGGGAAGGGAGAGGCTAGGAGGAAACCTGGTGGGTGGGGTTATGCATGGGACTCCTTGAATTCTCAGGGCAGATGCCAGGCTGAGCTTAGAGACTATGATAGGGCGGGGCCTCCATGCTGAGGGTGAGCAGATTCTCCCTTGCTCTACCAGGAGGAAAGAAAGAACTATCAGAATTGTGAGTCTGTGGCCCTTGACAGAGCCGTTTCACCTCTGCAGAGAAGTGTGCACATGGTGCCAAACGAAATCTGTAAAGACAAGGGATGCAGCAAAGACTCGAGACAGAATGACTCTGGGTTCAAAATGCATTGTGTATCTGGACAATGAATACGCTGTCTTTTCACAAATAATGGGGAAGTGCCACGCGAACTGAAGTGGAAACAGCTCTGAATGTATTAGATTTTTTTTTTAAATAAAAGAGCCACATGGCTGTCTGTGATGTAAGGCTGTACATGTGTGTCATCTCCTAGAAACTAGAATAGTAGTCATCTCTAGGCAGGGAGCAGGGGGATTCACTTTCCAGAACGTCCTGAGCCTTTCCTAATGTGTACCGAGTGTGTATCTGTCTACTAGAATCTTTGTTAGAACACCATTGACCTGGTGTTCACAATGGTTAAGAACCAATGCCAACCGTGACTCCCACTCCACCTCCAGAAGCCCGTGAACTCCCCAGAATACAAAAGACAAAACAGAGTGCCTATTGGCTGGCTGAGCTGCAAACAGAGGCTAGGTACCGAACAACTGCCAGAGTGAATGGCCGCTACAATGAACGGCCACGGTCAGGAACCATAGACCCTCTGTTCCAGCTCCAGAGACAGCAGCCTTCCTCATGGAAGTCTCGCTCACCCACTTCGGGCCGAGAACTGCAATTGCTGTGTTTCCAGCTCTTGTGTTTGGATTCCCTGTTCTTTTTTCTTTTTGTGAGAGAGGGTATCACTGTGCCAGTCTTATCCGTGACTGCCCTGGAACTACACATAGACCAGGTTGGCCTTGATGTGTAGCCTCTGCCTCCTGAGTGTGTGTGTGGGGGGGGGCTGTTTTCTTTTTTATGTGTATGAGTGTTTTGCCTGCCTATATGTTTGGCACCACACCTGTGTCTGGTGCCCTGGAAGGTCAGAAGAGGACAATGGATCCCCTGGAACTCGAGTTACAGGCGATGGAGAGCTACCATGTAGGTACTGAGAACTGATTGGGTCCTCTATAAGGGCAGCAGCCTCTGATCACTGAGCCATCTCCCCAGCCCTCCTCATTCTCCTCTGTCAGTTTCTCCATCTCTCCCCAAACCTCTGGCTTTCCTCTTCCCCTCCCAGGTCCGAGGCTGTGTCGTCTACTCTCCCCCAGCCCCCAGCAGGACCAGCTTTGCAGTCAAGACACTCCCCACCCAGGATGTGTGCCCCTGGTTCTCTTTCCAGAATTGCTCACACTCCTTCCTCCCGCCTTTCTCTGCACACAGCCCTGGCACTCGGCTCAGATCTTCCCTACCGTATCATCGCGCACCTTCACTCACCAGAGTCCTAGAAAGGAGCTCATTGGTCTCCACAGACCTCTGTGATCTCACCAGGACCTTGCTCCCTCTGGTCACCCTAGCCTCCCCTCTAGCATTCCATCAGATGGCTTCCTTCCCCCGCCCCCTTGCTGTTTGAAACCCAAGGCTCCCCCAGGACACAAGTTAACAGACCTAAGGTCATGGTCATGCTCACAGTTCGCCGTGGCTCTGACTTACAGGTGGTTTTGCCCTGAATCAACACGTATTTCTCAGGTGTGAGCTATGCTCAGAACTTAACTCCTTCTGGATGCAGACATCTGGATTGTGGCTGCTTCCCTACCAGCTGTGTAATTAAATGTTATGACCATGACAAAGTTACTTCTCCATGTGTCATTTTTCTAATCTACAAAAAGGAAGGACTAGCAACTCTATCCCATAGGGGTGATACAAGGCTAAAAAGTATAGCATGCCCAATGCCGAGCCTGATCCACATCCAATTCTTAAGTTATTTTTATCCCAGCGAGAGACTTGGCTTTGGAATAGTTTTTCTAGATGCCATCCCGCACAGGTGTACCAGCTACAGAGTGTCATCCGATCCTAGTGTATGGGGACCGTAGCTGTGTAACCAGCGAGTGTACACGAGAGGACTCCACATTTGATTCATGGCAGCTCACCTGGTCCTGGGCCACAGGCAGAGTGAGAGTCCCATTCTGCTGTTCCTCCATGAAACACATTAAAGAACTTTGCGAAAGCCACACAGGAGATTGGTGAAGGCAAACCTGCCTAAGGCTCTATCTCCCCGCAGATAGAATGGTGGAAACAAGCCATTGAGATCCGTGCTTGGCACATTTTCCCTACAAAGGACCAAATAGCACATCCTTTCTGGTTTATGGTTCATATGGTGTCTCTTTCTTGTATTCCAGTGTGTGTGTGTGTGTGTGTGTGAGAGAGAGAGAGAGAGAGAGAGAGAGAGAGAGAGAGAGAGGGGGGGGGGGGGGGGGGAGAGAGAGAGAGAGAGAGAGAGAGAGAGAGAGAGAGAGAGAAGTTTCTTATTCCCCTGAGGCAGGGTCTCTCACGGAACCTAGGCTGACTGGCAGGTGAGGTCCTAGGATCCACCCGTCTCTGATCCCCAGCACTGGGTTAAAGGCCTGCACAGCCACGTACATCTTTTTCCATGGGTCCTGGGGATTTGAACTCAGGCCCTCATACTTGCCCAGCAAGACTCTTACCCTCGTGCCTCACTGTGTGGGTTTTGTTAAACATAAAGCTAGGGGCTGGAGAGATGGCTCTGTGGTTGAGCATGTATACTGCTCATGCAGAGGGCCTGTGTTCTGTACCCAGCATCCACTGGGAACACAGCATCCACGATGGCTTAGAACAACCTATAACGAGTTCCAGAGGGACCTGGTGCCTCTGCCCACCACAGACAGCCATACTTACATGCACATACCATGCCTCCCACACACAACTAAAAATAAAAAAAAAATTAATATAAAAATACTTCTTAGCGCTAGGCTAGTATAGAAAGACCTCATGTGCTACCTTTGGCCTAAAAGCTGATAAAGACTATGCTGATGTAGCAAAATGCAAACCTAATAAAATGGCTCTAGTTAAGAAACAGTGCCCTCTCTTACCTGTTCCTGTTAATACTTACTGAACGTTGTGCATAAAGTCGTTACAAGGATCTTTACACACAGTATAAAAATACTCATTTAGTTCTCACTGTGACCTCAGTTGATAGGGGCTGTTGTTGGCTCTGTTTTATAATGGGGAAACTGAGGTACAGGAAGGTTTAAGAACTTCCTCAAGGTCCTATGGCCAGTAGCAGTTCAGCCCAGAGCCCGCGAGCACTGACGCTCTATTTATTTGAGAGGGCGGGCAGACTAAGTGGGAACTGCTAGCAACTCCGTTCTAAGTCGGTTTCAGAGCGGTCACCTTGACCTGCAGAGGCATGGGCGCGCGTCAGTGAAGGATGAAGCCTGGGCATCTTTCTCTGGTGCCATTGCAATGGAGGGCGCTCTGAGACCGCAGCGGCATCTTGGCCTGGAGAGGCATGGGTGTGCACACCTCCGGTGTTCACTCGGACCCCACAGGAGGAAGCCTGGGCGACTTTCCCTCGTGGATTACAATGGAGGGTGCCGACTGCAGAGGCATCTTGATTTGAGAAAAAAAAAAGCCTTTGATTGGATCTCATTAAATTTTAATCATAAACTGAATTCAAAATAAATTGAAACCTGGATGACAGAGCACAAACAAAGGGAGTGATAAACGGCAGTGCGGCTGGGACTGGGACAGCGTCCAGGGGACATCTCCGCGGCAGGGACGGATGGGGTGTAATGAAGGTGCAGGGTCCCTGGAAGAAGACAAATAGCAGACAAGGAACAGAGGAAGGGCAAGTGAGCAGCCTGAGTAATTAATAAGCGCCGCCACAGCTCCGGAGCAATCAACACTAGCTAGTCACCAACTGATTGGATTGGGGCTTGGTTTTTTTGAGACGTGGTCTCATGGAGCCCAGCCTGGCCATGGAATCCTGATTCTCCTGCCGGCCACCTCCTAGATGCTGAGATTATAGACAAGCCCCACTACATCAGGCTGGATTTTGTTTTAATTTTTTTGTTTTGTTTTTGTTTTGTTTTGTTTTTTTCAAGACAGGATTTCTCTGGAGCTTTGGAGCCTGTCCTGGAACTCACTGTTGTAAACCAGGCTGGTCTTGAACTCACAGAGATCTGCTGGCCTCTGCCTCCCAAGAACTGGGATTAAAGGCATGCACCACCACCGCCCAGCTGGATTTTTTTTTAAAATATGTATGTGTGTCTGTGGACTTGTGTGTGCAGTATACGTGTGTGTGTGTGCTTGTGAAGGCCCAAGGTGGACACCAAGTATGTCGCCCAGTTGCTGGCGCATGTGTGTGGAGGACCGAGCCCAAAACCACGTACCCTCTTAGGTCACTCTCCACCTTCTGTATCGAGGCAGGGTTTCTCCCACCTGGACTTTGTGGGTAGTATGGCTAGCCAACTTGCTCCAGGAGTTCCCTGTCTCTGTCGCTAAGCACTGGGGTTCTAGGGGGTCTGCCACACCCACTTGACTGGTAGGTGGGTTCTGGGGATCTGAACTCCAGTCCTGAATTATTTCGTTCTTAAAAAAAAATACAGTTTGGGTTACTGATAAGGTTGAAAAGTCCTAGAGACATATAGCATGAATATTTCAGGGGGCCATAATAAATAAAAAGATACATTTATAGTTGGGAGGATCCTGAAATCCAGTTTGGATCAGATACTTTTAATTACAGATCCTTGGGGTATTTCTTTTACTCTCTAGGGAATAACTTAAATTTTCTTTTTACGTTTTTTTTTATATGATGTGTTGCCATGGCACCCATGCACAGGTCAGCAGACAACCAGGCAGGAGTCTGTTCTCCGTTTTCTACCATGTAGCTCCCTGGCATCAAGTTCAGGCCGTCAGCCGGGTGGCAGGCACCTTTAGGAGCTGAGCCATCTTCTTGCTGGCCCCCAAAGAGTAGTTATGTGTGTGTCTAAAAATCACAGATCTTTAGAAATATCTGTAAACTCAAGAATTTGTCTACTGCCCAAATGTATGCAAATTACCATAAGGCTGTTTTGCTTAGTGGAACCCTGGTTTGGGGAGAACCAGTCAACTTGGGTTCAAACTCCACTGAGCAAGCACTTCCAAGCTTACTTGCAGAATTTCCCTGAGAGAGAAGCTGTTCCATTAGGGCTTGCCAGAGGCTCAGAGGCGGGGTGAGCCTTGGAGACAAGGGAACAGTCGCTGGACTTTGCACAGGAGAACTCACAGCAGGCTGAGGGCGGTCTTTATACTCTCCTCTGACTAGCAGAAGTGACCTTGGGACTGGAGGACGGAGACTTCTGGGAACAGACTGCCTACCACACTGAAAGCTGCTAATAAAAACATTTAAAGAAACAACCTCAAGCCAGTTCGGGCACTTTTGTTGCCCTTATTTTGTTTGTCTGCTTGGTTTTTTTTTTGTTTGTTTGTTTTTGTTTTTGCTTACTTTACATGAGCTGGTCTTTCTAAAGCCCCCTTTTGTGATTCCTCATTCAGGTCACAGAGTGAAGAAGGGACGGGAAGGATGAGAAGGGTTTGGAAGAGAGAAGGAAGACAGAACTGCTCTTGCTGTGGCAGGAAGATCTTGTAATCTCTAGTACAGGTGCAGAAGGGTCAATGGGACAGTCCCAGGAGAAACACAGGAATGTGCATGGCGGGCCAGTGGCCAGGTTGTCTAGGCAGATGACTCGGGATAGGAAAAGTTCAAAGATGGGCGTGAGACCTGTTTACCCTTGGAGAGGAAAGGAAGAGCGTAAAAGGCTGGGCACAGAAGCCAAATTTCCTTCACCACTTGGCGTTGCCAAGACCCCAGGTAGACTAGGTCTGCAGTGGGCGAGAGGACAGGCTGTGTGAGGGTCTCCCACCCATCAAATTGCTTGATTTCAGCAGGGCCGTCTGGGAACCAAACCATAATGGCAGCGTGCTAAGGATGCCACATGGATGAAAGGCCACCCTTCTTCAGTGAGTTTATAGCCTGTGGTCCCCAAGAAGGTCTAGGTGCACACCTGTGCATGCACCCGTACACCAGCACGCACACCTGTGCACACACATGCACACCTGCACACACACACACATGCACCAGAAAAGTAAGCAGCACACTGAGGTTGGAGCATACACAGACTCTAGGAGCCACGCTGGGTAGGAGACAAAGAAGGCTGGCGTGGGAGAAGAAACCCTATGTTTCATGAACTAAAAATATCTGGGCAACAAGGCATTGAGAAGAAACAGGAGAGGCCTAGGGGACAGCTTCTCGATTCCAAACATCGGCTACTTCTCGTGGAAAGCCAGCTGGACTATTCTGATAAGGAAATGGGATCAAACATTATGGGCCATTTGGTTGAATATGAGAGGAACGGGAAGTGGCCTGTGCCTCATCTGCGCTTTTCCGGCAGCAATTGCCTGCAGTCCGTACGTGCACGTTTTTTAAAGGCTAATCTAAAATTGCCTGCAGACGAAAACGATTTGAATTCAGGATCTAGCTGAGATTTCCATTCTGCGACGTGTAAAACATTGATTTAATTTAGACAAACCACTCCGCCATCATCTATCTTGCTGAATGCCTGCTAAACGACGCCTGGAAATATGACTTTCTCCTCTTCTTTTAATTTTCAGTCTATTTGAAAGTCACTGGCGCCTTCGTCTTGGGAGGTGCGGGCTTGAACGCTTTGTGTCTCTGTCCCCTCTGAGAATCCCTGAGTGGAGGCGCTTTCCCTCCAGCAGCCTGTCACACTGCCCACCCCTTCCTCCTGCTTAGCCAGACCCACACAGTGAAGACATCAGAATGGCCTCATCGCTCATCTCCTCAGACCTGTGCAAGGGCTGGGAAGAGCAGCACCCGGTTAAGCATGGCTGTAGGGAAGCCTTCACCCATCCAAGCGAGGCTGGGTGGCAGCTGGCAGCCACACGGACCTGCTACCCTGGTTTAGATGATCATGCTTCAGATTTAAACCGAGAATCAGGAACTCGTCACAAGCAAGATGCGATGGAGGCCTGGTGCCCTTATTCCAGAACACACAGAGCCACCGACAAACACCATGAGGCCTACACTAGAGCCTTATACCCAACAGAGTTTCACAATACCCAAGTCCGCCAGTCCCCTCCCCCCCCCAGCCAGAACCTACTGGGACTGTACTGACAGTAACTGATCAGAAGAAACAATAATTTTGTTTTTTTTCAAGCCATGGTTTGGAAAAGGTTAAGGACCCAGTAGACCTGCCATCTAATAATGAGTCTAACCGTAGTCACCAGCCTTACATAGTGCTGGGATGTGTTTCACTGTTCCCTTGCCCCTCCTATTAAAGGCCCACACACTGCCTGCGGGGCCAGGAGTGC